CGGGTTAGTGGTGATTCTGCAAAGTGCTGCTCATTTGAGGCTTGAAAGTTGAAAGTTGAAACTTCAATTGAATTCAAGTTTCAAGTTTGACATATATGTCTTTTTATTGGACAGACAATAATTACTTGTCATTATCGGTGTTTCTCCTAATCGATCTATTCATAAAATTAGACACTTGTTAGTGAACTAAGATGTAAGTGTCGATTTGGATGAAGAGAAGGACTATTGCTACTTTCATATCTGTCATCTAACGTATACCTTGCTTATATGCTTGATAACCCATTGAAAGCTTAAATAGTTCAGCATTCGTCTAGTTTCGTTCAGATTAACGAAGAATCCAAACGAGTGATAATAAGAATAGCAAATGTAACGATGAATGAAGAATAATAAAGAAATGTGTCGACAAACAAACAGAATAGCTATCTTATGTTTTACAGATTGATCCTACCGAGTTATGTTTATAACTTTTTATTCAAAGATGAACAAATGTTCGATGTATTTATTGATGCATTGTATGTAATCATAGGTGAATTGTACTCATTGAAATCATTGTAAATGATATTCAGATTTGGATAATAAAAATAAATGAAAATGAGCAAAAACAAAAGAATTCGATTGATTTATAGATATAATACAGAATGATTAAAATGTGAATATGTTGCATTGAATTATTTATCACATCATGTTTGATTCCCTATTAGTAAAGTCTTAGCGTTAATGTAATTAAAAGATATTGACTAGAGAACATTTTCCTAAGAAAATTTTTTTTATCTATCTATCTTCTTTTTCTCATATATTCTGGATTCTAATAGAAAAATCTTTTAGTTTGAGCTAATATTTGACTTACAAAGAAAGTCTCGATAAGACTAGAAAAATAAATGATAGTTTGTGAGCATGAATTTCTGGAGCCAAGTTACGAGTCATGATGTAGTTCCAGAGATGAATAGTTACGAACGTTTTTAAATATTTTCCAGTCTTATGAAAATACTTCCATGTAATCAAAACATGAACAAGAATTACTGAACGTCTCATTTTTACTAAAGTAATATCTACGAAAGAATTACAGAGGAGTAGATGTAACCTCAGGAACTCCACAATGTTAACAGAGGGTATGGATGTATTTAGAATGAAGATTAACAATCATTCTCACACACCCACACCCACACGCTCCTAGGACCTTAATCTTAGGTCACTAAAATTGAAGTTGTATTGTATTGAAATAGCTTTTAAGTAAATATGTTGTCATTTCTGGTCAACAGTGAAAATTTCGTTTGTTTGACAAATAGATAATATCAAGATAAAAACCGTTTTAAAACGAAATATTTACTTTTCACGATTCTCATAAAAAAAATATTTCCATTAAGTCCCTTGAAATAAATTCTACTCTAATGCTTCCAGAAACCCATTACTATCCTTTTTAATACTAACACTAGTGTGCATACATTAGTCGACGTACTTGAATCTACTCTGTTCAGATTCTTTTTAATCATGCAGGATGTCAGTGTAGATATGGGCATGAATTAAGGAAAAGCACACCTCCACATGCGTCTTAACATTCACACAATCTCAAGCAATCTGTCCTTCTGTGGCTATGCATTATCAGATGTGCAATGGTATAGAATGCGAAGAATTGGAACATTTACTCTAAAATATTTTCCATTCTGTTTTGGGAAAATTTCCTTTCTTTGTAGTGCATTGTTTGTTTTTTTGATATATGAAAAAGCAAAACTTTTTTCTTGAAGTGAATAGGATCGTTCAATAGAGGGTCTATTTAGACATGTCCTTATAAATATAAAGCTTGAACATACCTCTACTAGACACGAAAAAATCAGCTCGTTTGCTCAAGCTCTAATGAAGATATGCAATTTTTTTTAATGCGTCACTTTTGGGGTACTCTGTATTTATAGTATAGTACAAGCAGCATGCTTTCGACTGTCATATGTTCGTTGGCTATCATGAATATTATTCGAAATATCAACAACATCGAGATTTTCATTAGTACAATGTTGTTCTTTCATTGCAAGGGCTCGCCGTTGAAAATCCAACGCTTCATTGTATTTATTTTGTTTCTTAAGAATAATACTAATATTAGCAAGACTTTGAGCAACGTCGACATGAGAATTCGAATAAAATTTCTCTCGTATTTTGAGTGCTCGTTGATGAAAATTGAGAGCTTCTTCATAATTTTCTAAATCACTAAAAATATTGCCAATATTATTGAGACTTTGGGCTATATCGATATGATCTGGTGGATAAAATTTTTCTCTGATAGCAAGTGCTTGTAAATGATATTCAAGTGCTTGTGAATATTCTCCTTGACTACGTAAGATAGTTCCAATATTATTGAGACTTTGAGCTATATCAATGTGATCATCACCGTAATAATTCTTTCGTATTTCCAGTGCTCGTCGATGAAAATCTAAAGCTTGATCAAAATTTTCTTGATCAGTTAATATGTTACCAATATTATTGAGACTACGAGCAATATCTATATGATTTGAAGAATAATATTTCTCTTGTATTGTAAGTGTTTGTTTATAAAATTTCAGTGCTTCATTATATTTACCTTGATCATGTAAAATAGAGCCAATATTATTGAGAACATAAGCTGAATCTTTAGTTCTTGGTGGATTAACTTTTATCATTCTATGATAAGCACGATCATAATATTCCCGAGCTTTTTTCCAATCACCTTTCGATTGAAATACTCTGCCTAAATTATGTTCAATCCATGCAATATCTTCTCCATTTGGATCAATTAATATTTGTTCAAAATATAACTCTGCTTTTTGATATTGTCCCATATCGCATAAAAGTCTTCCAAACATAATAACAACACTTTTCTCTTCAGTTTCACGACGTGTTTCTTCAACATAATACTGAACGATATTTCGTCCTTCATTAGTTGCTTTTAATTTGACCACCCATAATTGTTTTTCATTTATAATATTTTCAATTCTAAAACTGGTGCCTAAATCGAAAAGAACTTCTTTTTCTTGAGGATATTCACTAAAGTTAGCTATATCGGCGAAAATAACATTTTCACCAAGTTCTTCAATATTACATTCAATTTCAAAGAGAACATATGAAAGATCATCTCGTTTAGTTGGTTTTTTCGCAAAAGCAAGCGCTTGTAAACGACATTGACTAGTTGAGAAGTAACTATTTGTTGATATTAATTTGCCATTAGCTTCTTTCAATTTATTGAATTCATCATTTGATAATTTAACTCCACGATAAACATTTAATAATTTTTGATTTGAAAAAAGAATTTTTTTATGTTCACGGGCGAGACTTTCTGAAAGATCACCAATGAAAAATCGAAATAAATGAAGTTGATTAATATCTTCACATCGCAATGCTTTATTAACTATTTTATAAACAAAACATTGTTTTGAATACCAACGAATTGCGTCATCACATCGATAAGTACGGTCAAATTCATCAATGAATTTCAATTCTTTCGAATTACCTCGATAATATAGTCGACATGCATCGATCATTTGTTTTTTAGCTTGTTGATTTCGTGGTAGATGCGAAATAACGTCATTGAAAAGTTGAAACCACAAAAATTCTGCTGATTCTTTTGATAAATCACGAAGAGATTTTTGATGTTGATTATAAAAAGTGAATGCTTGCAATTGTTTATTGATAAGATAAATCTCTTGTTGAATAGATGCGCACAGATCATCGATAGTGATATAGATTCCAACAATTTTTGGGAATTCAGTTAACAAATGTTCATATCGAGCTTTTTTCATACAGAATATAAAACTCGAATAGAGTTGCTGATGTTCACCAATCGTTGTTAAAAGCTGAGCACAACATGAGCCAGATGTAATTAATAATATTTTTTCTTTTTTAATCGATCTAATGAATTTAATGCACTTTTCAAATTCTTTATAATAAACGACATAATCGCTGATTTGTCGCAATTGTTCTTTAGTCAAGAGTGTATCTTGATGTGTATCGATATTAGGATCAAACCAAATAAGAACTGTACTCTCATTGTTTTCATAATTATTTACGGGATCAAATTGATGTTTGTTCTCAGTAGAATCTTTTGTTTTGGACGATGATGTTCCCATTCAATCAAATAAATTAATTTAAAATGATAAAAATGTCGATTTTACTCTTCTACAACGGAGAAAAATCAAACATAAATGATGTTGACTTTCTATGATAACTAATGTATGTGCTGCACAAAAAATTTGAGACAGTTTATCTTTGCCATGAATTTTTACTGAAAGAAATACTAGAGGCATGGACGACTTTCTTTTCACTTAAGGATTCATAGCAACTCTTAAGAATGAAACAAAATTTGTTTTGCAGTGAATCATTATGTACACAATGCTTATATTATACGCTCTTCAACTCAATGTCACATGTTGTCAATGTCATTGCCAAGATTATTTTGAGTTTAATTTAATCATTATTATGTGCAGTTTATTGACTATGTTAGTATACTTGTATAATATAGAATACTAGTAACTATTTATGATAGATTAACGATAAAGATTATATTTTTTAATATTTGAAAACAATACAATTCATACGAAAAGAAGAATAAAAGACATTATAGCACTTTAGCGGCAAACACATAGTGAAAACTTGATTTTTTCAGTTTTGGTGTT